CGTTGGGCCAACCATTAGCGACGTTATAATGACAATTAATTTTCAGTATACTGTAGAGATCAACAATGAATATAAAAAAGAAACATATATGCATAAATTATAAAAGCATAATTTTATATTTTAAGCTTATTGTAGCATTTCAAACACATAATATATCCATCGATCATCTAATGTCACTTATAGGCCTGAGATAATGTAATACACTACCAATGTAAGAAAGCGGTGATAATGGTGAAATATTTTGATTGACATGAACTTGACATGAGATGAAGACTATGATTTTTATATATTTAGAAGTCATATATATATATATATACACACATGTACATATATATATATATATATGTGTGTGCGTGTATATATACATGCACGCACGCACACACACATATATGTACATGTGTACATGTATATATATATCCTGGACTAGTGAACTTTTCACAACTAAAATCACATGATTATAAGGTCGTATATATATATATATACACATACGCATTCACATATATACATACATAGTAACTAGCATTTATGTGCCCATGGCTGATTGACAGTACTTTTGCTGTATATACATATATATATGCATGTATAATATATATATATATATATATATATATGAGCCTCAGTGAAAAAAGCAGAATAAATCAGCATTTAAGAAAGTGTAGAAAAATTGAATCTTAGCAAGTTTGAAACTCATATCTCCTACAATAATAAAAGTAAGTTGTTGATGGTTGCCATTTTGGTTTCATTATTTATTTTTATACTTGTTCTAATTTTAATTGACTTTCAATATGATGTGTTGCTGAACTATTTGAGTTCTCCTTCCAATTTGGACTTGTTCCTGTTTTTTCCATTTGGATACAAAGAAACTTTCTTATAAATAAATATGCAATATCTGGTGTGCTTAGGCAGTAGTGCCAAAAGGTGATAGTGGGAAAATGCCTGGGAAAGTTCACCCTTCCCCCCCCCCCTTCCCTAAGGGACGGCTCAGACCATATGGTCTCAATCCCAGTATTTGACGCCGGAAAAAATTGCTCCACACTGAAAAATAAAATTGATGGCAGCTTCGCCTCTGGTTCCAGGCAGTAGCAGCGAGAGGGTCCAGCGGAAAAATGGCTAAGGAAACAAAAAAAATAAAAAAAATAAATAAATTTTTAAATTTAATTTAAAATTGTTTTTGTTTAAATTGCCTGCCCCAGGCTGCTCTATCTTTGTGCATTTTTTAAACAATGTCGCATAGTTTAATGTTACTGTGTGTTACTGTTTTAACAATATTCTTTTAACATGTCAGAATTACCTCTTAACGGCAAAATACACTGTACCAGTGTTTCGGGCGAATTCTTACTACACAACAATATTGTCTAACTTGATCATTATTTTTAAAATCAAAAAGTAAAATCCATTGACTTAAAGCAAGACAATAAGATTACTTTTTAAATTAAAACAATGCTATTTATTAAAAACACTGAAATACAATGCAAATATAAATGCAGGGTGCTCATTAGATACAACTTACCAAGTACCTCAGAAATGAATATATCCTAATACCGACTTATTGTGATATATGAACATATTGAGGGGCAAAAGATGAAGTAATTTAAGAAATTAGGACCAAAGGCTGAAAGAAAGGCTGAATATTTTCTTATTAAGCCTATCTATCGCATTTCATCTAATCCTGCGTCAGAATTTTGAATCAACAGCCTGATTGATCCACAGGTAGGGAGTTGTCAAAGAATGCATGATTATCGGCTTACATAGCCGCTTCAAAACCTGCATATCATCATATTTGGCCTTGTGTATGGTAGTAGCTCTAGTGATGAAAACATTCCAAGATCCCACTAAGTTATTCGATGAGCTTTTCGCCTTTTCGCGCTGGGAACAGGTTTCCGATAACGCGCAGATTCAAATTGCCCATTCCAATTTATTGCGTATTTATAACCTGTGGGAATTTTGTCAACATGTCAACTCTCTATGGGCGCTGGTTGGGAACGGCATGCTCCTTTAAACATTCGCCTTAAGGAACGGATGTGAAGGTGAAAGAATGAATCTGAATTAATGTTATCACATTAAAATGGTGTTGTTTTATTTCTGGCAGCAAGAACACCTTCTTTCCATTCCTGTGAATCTCTATATCCGGCTTTACTGTTTATGTTGCCCATGTCCCTGTCACATCTCCATGTATGGAATGCCTCGCCTAATTGGAAAGAAGCACTTTACAGCCTGCAATCTCTCGTTATCAGTCGCACGCAGATAATGCAAAAAATCTAAAGAGAGTAAAGTTTTTGTTTTGCCCGCAGCCACTCCATCACCAAAAAAAAGAACTTCAGTTAGGCAGTGTCTGAAAGATAATTTTGAATGAATTATTGTAGCATTGAACACACTCATCCGCTCCTTTCTGGCAATCGCTCGTCGTTATGTCGTACAGGTACAATCGTCCGTGGATAGCACATGGATGCAAGAAAGTGCAGTAAGTGAGCTGTCGGCCGATAATAAACATGCATTAGCTGTTTTTGTTTTGGCCACGGTAGGTTCTTTGATAATCACACGCAATGCTCAAAATTCAGGATTGCTTTGCCCTCCGATTTTGCCTCTCGCTTTGCGACGTAAAATGGTGTGCCTCTCCTCACGTGCGAGCTCTTTTTTAGTCATGCAGTCTGTCCCCCCGTGTTAGTTGAACCCAAAGTTTCAACGCGTCGCATGGAAGTTCTGTTGACTATTTGTTCAAGATTTACCTGCTGAATCCATTCAATGTGGCATGTATCTTTCGCCCTTGGATATACGCAAAACCACATGTTTGACAATTAAGTGTTGAATATTTTCGCGATACGTTTGATACTTCACAGTGATATCGGGTGGGCAGTTCTTTGAAGCTATATCGAACATCTTTGTTATATTGAGGACTTTTATCAGACAAATATAGCCTCCTTGTCTGCGCCAAGAGCGTAATGGAGATCTTCCCCTGAATGAAGAACTATGACCTTGTATGGCCTCCTAGTCTCCCTCCTTTAGCTGATGGGGCCTGTCTTCTAGTGTTTGCCTCTGCCGTCTTCTTGTGGCTGACCTATGTAGATTAAAGAAGGAGACAAATCTCATAGCAAACTATTTTTTCATTTGTGAAGATTTGCATGGTAAAATAATAACTTCCAGTGTACATGCATGTGTTTAACTAATAAAGTTATCTAGTTCGCACATTGAAGAAATAAAATAACATTAGTAAAGTTGCTATAAAAATCAATTCAGTTTGATACATGGAATTGTGTCACCGTACTAATTAATAAATAATAGGCCACCTGAGTAGTGGATAAAGCGTTTCTTATGTCTCGCACTCTGTTCTTTGTTATACCGCCGAATATGGAAACAGAAAGCTTTTGGCATACTTGAATTTCTTTAAACATTCTTGCTGCTGACTTGGCTGGCTTTTCCAAATTATTGTTGTGCGAGAAGAAAACACAACCCTATGAGACATTGCCATTGATGTTAAGCCTCAATTTCACAAAAATGTGACCTTATCTGGTTTTTCTACTGAGGGCCTTCATATATATACATATACATATACATATATATATAATATGTAATATATATATACTATATAATATATATTATATCATTATATATATACAGGCAAAAGTACTGTCATCAATCCGTGTGTGGGCACCATAATACCTGATTATTTATGAAAAAACCAACTATATATCAAAGTTTAAACCAATAATATAATTAGCAACTTCGTAGTTAGCTTGATAGCTTTTCCACATATTTATAATACATTACAACTGTATATATTTTATATACATTATATCGTAAAAAACAAAACAGGCATTCAGCACCGGAGATTAACAAAAATATAAAATTAGTATAAGGTCTTTCTGGCAGTATGTTATAAATACATCAGCAACTAAGTTAACTTCTCTACTAACTTCAAACGACGACTAAACACTTCTCAAGCTAAATTATTTATTAGTTAGTTTAAAGGTATAAAGTTAGTTATTTTTATTGATTTAACATGTACCTAAGTTCATATATCCCCGAACTAAAAAATGTATAACAATAATCACATGATTATAAGATGGTAAATATATATATATATATCATAATATATTACCACCTTTAATGTGAATTTTTGTCGTGAAATAAGCGACATGGCTCATGGAACTAACATGCATGAGTGGGTGCTTGCACTCAGGGGACGTGACTGGATCGAGGCCTATTGAGAACTGCATATTAGATCTGGAAAAAAACAAAATGCATTATAGTCTTGCAGAGGCTATACGGTGTGAAATTTCTTCGTGTAGAAAGCTACCGACATACCAAGATAAAAATATAACTCGTCTATTCATATGAAAGTTTAGACTATATTGTATAAAATCATTAGGTATCAAATTTTGTGGTAGGCATTTACATGTAATAGAGATAGAAGACAGTAAAAGAGTGTAAGAGAAACAAAATTGAATCAGATGCAATATTCTCCCATAGGAATTAATTGTGTAAGAAGGAATTATTTTGAGCAAAAATGGCAATCGTGAAACGAGACAAATACTAATTAGAAAGAAATCGAGCATCGAGAATGCTTACGACATTGGCAAACATTAAAGCTTACTTACTTCTCCCGTCGGCAGCTCCGCCACACTCGCGCCGCTTTCGCTTCCTCCGATCACGGTCCAGCAATACTTAAGGCACTCTTAATTAGCTGCTCATTCTCGCAATTGTACCGTTTGCGTTGAAGCAATTTCTTTTGACAGCATTCTAAAACAAAGACACACTGACAACGAATTTACTGGCGAATCATAAATTAAAATATGGTAAAAAGTAATGTCACATTGGTCATCCAACTACCAAAGTAATGGGTGTTGCTAAAAATAAGCGTTGAAACAATCTATGAAATTAACCAATTACCAAGAAGCAACATCCTTATAAAAGTGAAACACATGGTTGGTTATATCATGATTACTATTGAAACAATGTAATTCTAGCTAAAGTAGCCCTACCTATAATAATAGTGGCCAGCTTCAGAATGCTTGAGCCTCTCTGTGCTTCCCTTCCCTGGCAATGAAGGCGGTGGCCAGGCTAACCAGATAGTGACTTTTCGGCAGGACTCGGCGACCAATTTCGCTGGACTGCTCTCTGCCAGTGATGTGGAGATAGGCAATCTAAATTAAAATGCATGGGGTTAACAGTAGGCCTAGAATAGTAAACTTCTAACACATTTATAATTAATATCAGATATCTATTAATAATTAATACTAATAATCGATCTAACAACTGAATAGCAGAATAAATCAGAATTATTATTTAGGTTTGTTATTTTGAGAAGATTACCTACAACCCACAGTATATGGCTGAATTACACATTACATTCTCTAATCACAGCCCTAGTTTCAAGTGACACTTTTCACATGAAAGGGTATCATTCCATACCATTGATTTTTCTACGCTGGAATCCTCCAGCAACACCTCCAGGTGTTCGAGCTCTTCCATTGTTTGTAAAGGGAAGGTCACACCTTCTGGCAAGGTGGCACCTTCCAGCTGCTCCTGTCCTCTTGATGTAGCTTTTAATATCGTGTTTAGTGTTCTCGCGTTGTGAGCGACATCCTCTCGCATCTCCTCAAGCATTCGTAAGATCTGTCGCTGCACTGCTAAAATATAGGAATAACACGCATAATTTATTTCAGCAGTAACTTAATTAAGCATATAACAAGGCTTGAAACGATTGCTCGCCCACTTAGTCAGGTCCCTTGGCATCATGATCGCGACAGAGCTGACAAAAGCATTAAACTTTGCACATTTAATTGTAGCTTATGGCAGTAAATATTAGAGGGGGTGCCCAATGTAGATATTCCTTAGAAGTGAATTATCGATTATTCAATGTTCGAACCACCCCCACCTACACTGGCGCATTGTGTACAGCTGGTAACCCCCCCTTCCCCGCGCGCATTTACGCATATATGCTATTGCGCTATGTATTAACTCATATCTCGCGAGCAGATTGAGTTACATTTCTAGAAATCTACAAAGATATAGACACATATCTTAGCTATATAATCATTGTGAATATTAAGTTGATTGACGCACGATTAGTCAATATATTAGCAAACATATGCGCGCGGTATCGCTCATGAAGGCTAATATACGCACGGCTATAGACGGAATGTTTTACCTGAGCATGTGTCTCTCTGACGTGCCTGTTGTGTCGTCTCTTCAGGCACCACAGATACGCTCTGCTGCTGCATTGGTGGTGGTGGTGGCAGCGGCAAGAAACTTCTCCCCATTGCTTTCTTTTTTAGTGGTGGGGAAACCTCCAAGTCACTATCAGTTTCGGAAATGTACCTTAAAGTAGGCCTATAAAGTAGTGAGACAGCATGTTATTTGTGTAAAATACTCTAAATATACAGCTGTTTGAACTGTACAATGAACAATGAATCATCATTAATACAAATTTTCAACACATCCACAGTTACACCACATCAATATTGGATAATTTATAAATTCATTATTACAGAAACGTATAATAAATGCTGCTTACCTTTTCTTTCTTTTCTGTGTACTATTATCCTCCTCTGATTGCAGGTCAGATGTGTATTCCGCCATTCGAAGCTTTTGTCTGGCTTTGTCATAATCACCTGATGAATAATGAATTATGTAAATATAGGGTTTGAAATTGTTGCAGGTTGTTTGAGGTGACCTCAATTTGACATTTAGACATTGGTCGCAAGTTTATTGAACCTTCTGTGGCAGTCATTTCTTATTACAGCAAATAACAGGCAAAGTACAAAAGATTTTTATGCTACCAATATGACAAGTTTATGATAAAAGCTTGTAAAATACAAGAATATGGTATATAAAACACATGAATTCAACAGTTACAGGCAACCATTTCATTATTTTCAAGTGACTTACTTGCAGTGGTTAGTTTACGTATTTCGTATGTAATCCAACACTCCTTTGGGGCACCATGATTCTTTATCAGATTTTTTATTGTCCCGCTCGAATGTGGTGGCCATAGCACGCTGTTTTCCTGTATCCAAGTGTCTGGCACAGCCTCCACCTCTCCCGTTTCCAAGAATTCAACGATAACATACATGCTAAAATTCCAAAAAAAAAGAAGATCAGTTCCATCTCATACCGGTAGAAATTATTATTATTATTATTAAATCTTAATTGCCTAATTCACATTACAGCCCTTTACAGTGGTGCATTTTGATACCCCAGAGTTAGGGGGACACCTATTCCAGCCAGCACCATGCACTGAGAGAGTGATACGTAGGTGAAGAGAGAGAGAGAGAGAGAGAGAGAGAGAGAGAGAGAGAGAGAGAGAGAGAGAGAGAGACGCACACGCACGCGCACATACACATATATACTAATCGCGTACATATATATATCACGTCATACATATTTCGACGAATATCTATTTGGGCCAACGTTGGCGCGCTGAGCAAAAATCCGTTGGCCAACGTTGGCGCGCTGAGCAAAAATCCGTTGGGCCAACGTTGGCCCAACGTCAGCATGTTATCCGGGTATATATATATGTATGGGCCCGCTGTAAACACTCGCACGTGCACCACTCACTCGACGCTCACACTCCAAAGACAGTATGCTAATAATATATTCGTACATCTTTGCGCTCACCAAATTAAATAACTCGTGTGCTCGCACGTACGGTAGTTGAGACAATACTAATCACATTGTTTTCAAAGGCTAAGTAATCTTTTATGATACCAAAGAGAGAGAGAGAGAGAGAGAAAGAGAGAGAGAGAGAAAGAGAGAGAGAGAGAGAGAGAGAGAGAGAGAGAGAGAGAGAGAGAGAGAGAGAGACGCACACGCACGCGCACATACACATATATACTAATCGCGTACATATATATATCACGTCATACATATTTCGACGAATATCTATTTGGGCCAACGTTGGCGCGCTGAGCAAAAATCCGTTGGGCCAACGTTGGCCCGCCGAGCAAAAATCCGTTGGGCCAACGTTGGTCAACGTTGGCATGAGCTGAAGACAGCCGTTGGCCAACGTTGGCCCAACGTCAGCATGTTATCTGGGTATAGGCCCGCTGTAAACACTCGCACGTGCACAACTCATACGACGCTCACACTCCAAAGACAGTATGCTAAATAATATATTCGTACATCTTTGCGCTCACCAAAATAAATAAATCGTGTGCTCGCACGTACGGTAGTTGAGACAATACTAATCACATTATTTTCAAAGGCAAAGTAATCTTTTATGATACCAAAGTAATATATATGAGTAATGAGTGTACGTATGTGTAAGTGTAAGTGTGCGTACGCGTGTGCATGTGTGTGTTTGTGTGTGTGTGTGTGTGCGTGCGTTAGTGCGCGCGTGCATGCATTTGTGTGTCTGTGTGTGTGTGTGTGTGATGCAGAAACGCTTAAACTTGCTATCACACATATGTATCACAATGAATTGACAACTTTTAGTAGTTATATGTATTACTAATCAATGGTAGCTAGAGTATATACTCAACACAAATATTGTAGTGTAGGCCTACCATGGTGCTTGTGTTGTAACAATATATAACCATATGGGTGCACGGTACCCGTAAACTAGGATGAAAACATATACAGCCAATATAAATATATGTTGTAGGCGGTTTGACTCCGTCTTACAAGAAGTGTATAGAAATGTTAACACTTATATTCACAAGAGAAGAAGTGTAGACAGTGCCACAAGAAATAGATTTATTCAGGGAAGCTCCTGCAGTTAATAGAATAATATACGCACGATAGTACACAAAGAGGTGCAGACAATTATTACGGTGCGAGTGCGACTTACACAGTTACAAGAACTACGTTTAGAATTATAGAAAGATTATTGCACGTACTAAAAGATAGCTTAGTTACTACGATAGAACAAATAAGAATGCAAGACAGTGATAGGTCTACAGTGGCATATAGATCTATGTGCATGAGAATAAGAACCTTAAGCCATTAGATAAGAAAGACGTACATACTCACAGACTAATAACACGCACGTTGCAGGCACTGACAATGTTAGCACTCAAACTGACTGTGCCCGTGCGGACCGTCTTATATATACACGCTTAAATTAGCAACTACAGACCCTCCCTCCAAACAAGGAAACCATCCTCGCGACCGAAACTAACCACAGATGTGTCGATTTAGAATAGTACATTCCTATGTACATTGCTATGTACACGGTCAGTCTATGCGAGTAACCGATCGCCCCATCCCTTACAAGGAAGTCCACAATCGCTCGTGTATAAACGAGTATCTCTCTCTATTGTCGAATCTCTCCTCCCGGGGAGAACCGAGACCCCGAGCTGCTTCTCAGGCGTGTGCTAAATGTGTACACAAACAACCTTGCCCACTCACGCACAAACACTCCTGCATCCTCTCGCAGACCGTGTTTCACACAATTCCTCGACCCCATTGCTCATGCCTAGTTAGTTATTACAAGAATCAATCTGCGGTGCCGATAATGTAAACGGAGTTATGAAATTGCTAACTGATTTAATTAATGCAAACCTCGTGTCTACAATGTATATATGTATATATATTTTTCAAGTTTGTCTTCACTGAAATCATTTGCAACTACCAACCATACCCCAACGTTGGGCCAACGTCATGTAGCCAACCACTTGCCAATCATGACCATGCCAACCATACACCAACGTTGGCCCAACGTCATGCTGCCAACCATTTGCCAACCGTGACCAGGCCGACCATATGCCAACGT